AGATTCTAAATGTGGCACTTCACAGAGAATTCTGGGCATGCAACTGAATGGTGAACAAGTGTTTCCGCTTGTGAGTTGCCTTGGCCTGTGCCCAAAAGTCTTTTATAACTGGGTTTTGGAGCTTAATATTGTGCTTAGATTAGCTTATTATATTTCACATGAAGTAATTTGAAAAGTAACTCAGAATTCACTTTAAAATTTAAACTCAAGTTCTTAAGATACATATCTTAGAGAGATTTTAATTAAAACTAAAAGTATACTTAATATACCTTTTGGCTAAAGGCCAAGTGGCCTAATGGTAAAATCATTAGGAGGCTGAGATCTTATATTACCATGCTAGAATAAGTTTTTGGGATACACGAAAAAAAATTGTTTAGCCTCCATTGACTCAGTCATAAGGAATTATCTTATTAAAGCATTCTAAATAAAATGTATGTTTTGAAGTTTATAGTTAAACAAAATGCATTTTTGTAAATATTTTCAAGAACTTTATATCTTTGTGGTACATAGATCACAGATTTATGAATATACATGATTTTGGAGGATATTTTTTCTTCTGATGAAATTTTAAGGTACAAGGTTGACCTCTTTTAAAAGATATTATTTATTTATTTTTAGACAGAGAGAAAGGGAGGGAGAAAGAGTGTGAGAGAAACACTGATGTCAGAGAGAAACATGGATCCCTTGCCTCTCATATGTGCCCTGACTGGGGACTGAACCCCCAATCCAGGCATGTGCCCTGACTGGGAATCGAATCAGCAACCTTCTGCTTTGTGGAACAATGCCCAACCAACTGAACCACACTGGTCGAGGCAACATTTGGTGTTTAATTCAGGAAGTGAAAATTCCTTTTAGTACTTTTTCTTAAAGACTTGATCTAAATGTAAATAAATAGCTAAAAATGGTTAGTTCACTTTGTTTAATGCTATGAATGTTAGTATACTGAACAGTTCTTTAAAGGTTAGAATTAAGGTATCCAATTTACATTACTCTGCTTGATACTGTTATTTAAATTTATATAAACATTTGTGGGGTCAAAAATGAAACCTATATTCTCCCTAAAGATATCTTAACATACTCAGTTTTTATGTTTACTGTCAGTTTGTTTTCCAGTTTAAATTTAACTGAAATATTTGCAAACATTTTGCACAAAACTAATAGTTTTTAAACTAATTAGCAGAGCATTTTTATTCATGTGATATTAGGCATTTACACGACTTTAACTGGTAGAATATAAGTGTTATATGGAAGTTTTCTATTTGAAGTAGAATATTCAGATATTGCCAGTTAATCCCAATGATGTGCCTGGTTTGAATAGCTGGTGTTGTTTTAATGATAAAATATGAAGGATACCTACATCATCACGGATTGGTTCAGAGATTTCTGAAAAAGTGTTTGAGGGTAGGAGTTGGCATTCAGTTTTCCTAAAGCTTAGACTAAAGCTGAATACAGATTATTTTGTGAAATTCTGAGGCAGAAGTTGACCATCAGTGTATCCTTAGTAAAAGCTATGTATTACTATGCAATATATTACAGTATTGTTATATAATTGGGATGTTGACTTGTGAAGATAAGGAGGAATCATATTTTAGCTAGTCCTTTTATGTGTTTGAATGTTTTGTGATGTCTTTGTTATTAAAGTGAAAAGATTACATTCAACAAAAGATTCTGACGGAGTTTTATTCAAATGTAAACCATAATTCTGATTCTTTGGTTCATTTTTTTTAAGTCGACTGTTTAGAACCACACATGGCCACTAACCACATATGTTGACTTACATTAATTTTAAGTAAAATTAAAACTTGAGTTCCTCAGTTGCATTAGCCACATTTCAAATGCTCAGTAGCCAGCCACATGTAGCCAACACAAATTTAAGACATTTCCGTAATTGCAGCACTGTGTCTAGAGAGTGACAGTGAAAATAGTATCATTCTATTGATCTTCTGACTCCATACTTAAATACAATCTCTTTTTACATTGTTTACATTTTTGTAAAGGTTGTGCCTTGAAGTAACAGGTTGTACATTGCTCAGAGATACTAGTAAATTCAGAACACAGATGTTGAGCTGTGTCTGAAATCCAAGTCTGGCCATTCTGCACTGTTTTCACATGTATCTGAAGAGCAGCATCTGAAGTATTAGATATATACTTTTAGAACTGTGGTTATGCTGGCAGTATTCTTTTTACCCTTTTAATTTTTTAATTCTCTTAAGGTGTGTTATGTTTATTAAATTAAAATAAAGGGGAATCAGTTTTATGATTACTAAACTAAGATTTCAGAACTTGTATTCTATTTAATATCTGCAAATGGTATAAATAAATTTCATAAGTTTTATAATTTGCCAAAGAATGTCAACTTACGCATATATCTGTATTCCAGTCCTTCGTACCAATCCCTCCTTCTCCCTGATATGTTGCATAGACACAAGTAAATGTTATTAAATATGGACTTTGTTTTTGGAAAAACCTTCATTATTTTGAGACATTCTCAAACATGTAAGCCATTTAAAAAAAAAAGGATGTGAAATGAATCTTGAGGACATTATGCTAAGTGAAATAAGTCAGTCACAAAAAGACAAGTACTGTGTGGTTCTACTTGTGTGAGGTATGCAGAGCAGTGAGACTCTTAGAGGGAGACAGTAGAAAAGTGATTGCCAGGGGGTGGTGGGTGGAAGAGGGAAGGAATGGGGACTTGTTTTTTAAAGAATATACTTCCAGTTTTGCAAGATAAAAAAAAGAGTTCTGGACATTGTACAATAATATGAATACACTTAAAATGGTTAAGATGGTAACTTTTATGCTATGCATATTTACTACAATTAAAAAAAATTTGCAAAACTGGTTCTCCCAACTTTGAGATAGTGCCTTGGTTTTTTTTTTTGCCTTTTGCATTGTTATACGCACTTTAAACTGGCCTGCCAGTTTCCACCCCCCAAAATTCTTGAGATCTTGATTGGAATTGCATTGATCAGTTTAAGTAGAATTCACATCTTTATATTAGTAAGTCTTCTAATTTATAAACATGATAAATACATCTCTGAATTTGTCTTTCAGTCTTTCTCAAATATGCTTTACAGTGTTCCATGTGGAACTCCTGCATATCTTGTTAGATTTATTTCTAAGTATTTGATATTTTTGATGGTATTATAAAAGACACATTTTAATCAATTTTATTTTCTAATTCGTTATATACAGGAACAGTCTTTTTTCAATCACCTTTAAACTTTCTTAAGCATACACTTCCATAGTGTGAAGTATATTCACACTGTTGCAAAACCAATCTCCAGAACTCTTAGGTCTTGTAAAACTTGAAGTCTGTATCCAAACAAAAACTTGCCATTTCTTCCTACTCCCAACCCCTGGTAACCACTCTTCTACTTTCAGTCTATATGAATCTGACTACTCTAGGTGCTTTATATAAGTAGAATCATACAAGTATTTGTCTTTTTTGATGGGCTTATTTCACTTAACATAATGTCCTCAAGGTTCATCCATGTTGTAGCATGTGTCACAATTTCCTTCCTTTTTAAGGCTGAATAATATTCTTTTTTATGTATATACCACATTTTGTTTTATCCATTCTTCTGTTGATAGACAGTTACATTGCTTCCATTTTTTGGCTATTGTGAATAAGGCCATTTTAAATGTGAGTGCACAAACATCTCTTTGAGACTCTGTTTTCAACTATTTGGGGTATAAACTCAAAAGTGGAATTCCTGAATCATATAATAATTCTATTTTTAATTTTTTAGGAACCATCATACTTTTTTCTTAAACAGCTTCAGCATTTATACATTCCCACCAATAGTACACAATGTTCCCAAAAGGAGTTTAAAAAAATGTTCTAATTTATTAGAATTATTTTAATTCTAATAATTCTAATAATTTATTTGTAGGGTCTTTGGATTTTCTATATATAAAATCATTGGTGATTAATGACATTTTTGTCTATGCTAATGGATAAATTGAATACTATGTGGCAATGAAAAGTAAATGTACGGTAGCTACCATGTGAATTATACGAATTATTTAAATCCTTAAGGAAGGAATTCTGTCTTTGTACATACCTAGAAATATGACAAAAACCCTATGCCATCATTCTCTGAAGGACAAATTTAGGACTTAGTGGAGGAGGATGGCAAGGAATATTTTGGTTTTGGTTTTTCCCTCCTTTGGAAAAGGAACAATGTGTGATCATATATATATATATTTCTCCAGAATTGAAGTAGATCCATAGTGTACCAGAACTATTTATAGACTTGACAAGTTTTGTGTATCCCCTTTGTTACATTGATGCAAATTGGGAATTTCTGTGGTTTTGGAGATGGTCTGAGAGGACTGCATGTTCTCACCAGCTGGCCAAATATTTGTAGACTGAACTTTCCCCCCAGTACTCCATTGTAAATGAATCACTGAACAACTTCTGCATGCAAGGGAAGTTAGCAATAAGTACTTAATTTTGAACCAGAGGGCCTGTGACATTTATAGGAAATGCAGCTGAAACTTTACACAAGAAAGCAAACTCTTTAAGAAAGCCTGGAAACAACCCTGGGATTGGTTTAGTTTAACCTTCCGTAAAGCTGATTGAAGTACTTTTATAATCTTTTTTAAATTTTTGATTTAATCTTTATTATGTTTTTACCCATTACCTTTTACTCCCCTTATATCTGCCCCAGCAATCACTACACTGTTGTCCATGTCCATGAGTCCTTCTTACTTACTGCTCAATTCTTCCACTCCCTAACCCTCCCCCCACCAGCTGTCATCCTGTATTCTATCTATGAGTCTGTCTCTGTTTTGCTTGTTAGTTCGTTTTGTTCATTAGATTCCACATATGAGTGAAATCATATGATATTTGTCTCTCTTTGGCTTATTTTACTTCACATAATGTTCTTTAGGCCCATCCATACCATTGCAAAGTGGAAAATTGTCTTCTTTTTTATGGCTGAGTAGTATTCCATTGTATATAATTCTTTTTGTTTGTTTCTTTTAAATTTTAGATTCAACCCTATGAAAAGATAAAGGCCAGGGGCTTACCTGATAATATATCTTCGGTGCTGAACAAATTAGTGGTGGTAAAACTCAATGGCGGTTTGGGAACCAGCATGGGCTGCAAAGGCCCGAAAAGTCTAATTGGCGTGAGGAATGAGAATACATTTTTGGACCTGACCGTTCAGCAAATTGAAGTGAGTAACATTTAGCCTTTCTCACAAGCTACAAAAGTTGTTTTTAGTTGCTAAATTATTATAACTGTTACCTTATAAAATAACAGATGTGAATTTGAGCTAGTCAGGGAGCTTGCTTTCTTTTGTAGGTTTTAGTATATAAAAAAGTTTGGTGTTCCTAAGGGCATATCCTTGGGGTGATATAAAAGCTTTTGATCTTTAAATAGCGTTTGTGATGGCTGAAATCTCTGGGTCTCTTTGAATTCTCCTTTGATCTCCCCTCCACTCAGCCCCCTTCTTTCTAGAGGCACCCTTCATCACAGCTGGGATGCTGCGGCTTTATTAACCCCTTTGGGGGCTAGGGAGAATTTCACATTTCTGGTTGGAGGCTGTGGATGCTAAGAACTGTTCTTGGCTTCTTTCTTATGATGAAGTCATTAATCATAGACTGTAAGCTCTTCAGGGACCGTGGCCAGTCTTTTTCATTTCTTTATTTCTAATTCCTAATATGGTGCTGGCAACCACAGTAACAGCACTAAGAGTAGCAGTGGCTAACATGTATCCAGTACATACTGTACACCATGTATTATCCTGAGCTCTTTACATGAATTGACTCATTTATTTCTCTCAAAAACTCTATAGGATAAGTACTGTTACCATCCCCATTTTAGAGATGAGGAAACCAAGGCACAGAGAGGCTGATTTACTTGCCCAAGATTCCCTGGTTAGTGGGTGCAGAACACAGGGCAGTCTGACTTCTGAGGCCCTGTTTTCCTCCCACTCTGTTGCCTCGGCTTTTTCCACAGACTGAAGGATTTCAGTTCGGGTGTGATTCACTACTCTTGACATAATAGTGAGAATAGGGAGCCATGACTTTGTAACTTTGTACTTAATTAAATCCTCACAATGCCCTGGAGACACACTAAATGCTCAGTCAGCACTTGCTGAAGTCGTAGGGCACGGTGGCAGGGCACACAGCTCCAGAGTCAGACTGTGGTCATGAGGAAGGTGTCCCTGCCCTGCTGCTGACCTGCTGACCTGCCTGCTCTGGGCCTCACGTAGCATCCACACAATGGAGACAGTACTTTCTCTTTCTCAAAGACTTGTGATTTAATGAGCAAGTATGTAGTGAATTGCTTACTTAGCAAAATAGCTTCTGCTAAGTAGTTATTTCAAAACAATATATGTGGCTATATAAAATGTTTTGGACATTTTGTGATTAACAATTAAGAGTTCATTTTATACCTTTATGCAAAAGATAATTAAGTCTGGATAACCTTATTGTCATTTTCCTCCCTAGCATTTGAACAAAACCTACAATACAGATGTTCCTCTTGTTCTGATGAACTCTTTTAACACAGATGAAGATACAAAAAAAATACTACAGAAGTATAGTCATTGTCGTGTGAAAATCTACACTTTCAATCAAAGCAGGTACAAGGAGTAGAAACAATTAACTCTGGGGGAGGTGGGGCAGGAGGTACTCCTGGGGAAGGACTTCTTTGTCTTGTTTGAACATAGTAGCCTCAAGATGTGTGACATGTGCCCAAGGCTAATGTTGCAAGTGTTTGATGCCTTTAGAGGCTGAACATGTAATAGATATGTGATTGCTCTAATCACACTGTGGTTGTGTAACTCCAATTCTTAAAAGGGAATCTGCTTGAAATCTTGTTCCTGGTCCAGAATACTTGAGGATAGCTTAGGTCTTTGCTTTCTGAGGGCATGTTTGGGCTCCAGGTGGAATCTTTCTATATTCCACAATATTGGTAACCTTCTTTCCTAATGGAAGGAATTTCCTTAATATCCTAATACAGGCTTGGGGGAAATTTAATAAATTTTGGAGAAGATCTTCTACTTGGGAAGGGAGATTAAGTAAAAAAGAAGTGTGGTACAGCCCAGGCAACTGGGGAAATGAGGCTTCCATCTAAGGACAGACACGGGTTTATGTGAATTTGCATGGAAGAGATATTTCTGTGTACCTTTAGTTTTTCGGTGTTTCTTTAAACCTGTTTTTCCAAGGACTCTGTTACGTCACAGGTGCTCTGCCTCCATATTCCAGTTGCTCTTTAGTCTGTTACAGGGCCAGCTCCTCTCCCTGCATTGCCTGCCCCTACACAGGTCCTCACTAGGAGCAGGAAGCCACCTTCCCTGGGCACTAACCTGCTGTTGATTTTTTGTGAAAGAAAGAGTACCACCCCTCAATCTTTGTTTATAAGAATGGACAGCTTTTCCCAAATAAGTTTTCAGGGAAAAGAACAATCCTGTGACCAAATGAGTTTGAGAAAATTTACTGTACCTCCTCTCCTCGACAGTCATAAAAGATATATTATCTAAAAAATATAAGGTGTCCTCCTACCTGTGTGACTGTGGGAAAAAATTTTTTGCAGTAAATGTAACTATCTAGAAAACTGATTTTTGGACATTAGATAATGAGATTTTTCTTAAATGGATTCACATCATCTGATTAAATTACTAATGATAGACTGAAAAGGGGGGGAGTTTTATTTTACATTAAATGAACTGTTTTTCTTGAAAGTTTGCAGTGTTCTAGAGTTGATAAAAGCACTTTTTTTTTTAAGGTACCCAAGGATTAATAAAGAATCTTTACTGCCCGTGGCGAAGGATGTGTCATACTCAGGGGAAAATACGGAAGCTTGGTACCCTCCAGGTCATGGAGATATATACGCCAGTTTCTACAACTCTGGTTTGCTCGATATCTTCATAGGAGAAGGCAAAGAGTATATTTTTGTGTCTAACATAGATAATCTGGGTGCCACAGTGGATCTTTATATTCTTAATCATCTAATGAATCCACCTAATGGAAAACGCTGCGAATTTGTTATGGAAGTCACAAATAAGACACGTGCAGATGTAAAGGTAAATACTGAGAGGAAGCAGTTTGGGGATTCACATCTTCACATTTCATAGGTTATGTAGTTCAAACTTTTCTTTTATTGGAAAGCTTCCGTGTGAAGCTGAAAACACTTACCCACTTGGTAACATCATTTTAAGACAGAACAAGATAGCATTCTATAGAGTACCCTAACTTCTGTGTGACGTAACGATGTATATATAAATCCAGATTTAATAGTATTAAAATTATCTTTACTTTTTGAATAATCTATGCGGGCAATCTTAACTGAAAACAATTCCACATATTTGTAACAGAAATTTGAAACATGGGAAAGCACTTTCAGTAAGTTTGCTCAAACCTTTTTCTTCTAGTTTGAGTCTTAAGTATTTCTATTTCATTGTTCTTTTAATGAAAATTTACTATTTCTAGTGTAATATGTATTTCTATGTTTGATCACTGTAATCTCTCTGTAATTGCAAAAAAATGCAATTTTGTTTAGCATAAAGCAAAAATTTGATTTTTTTTAACTTGTATTGAATATATTGGGGGACATTGGCTAATAAAATTATATAGGCTTCAGCCCTGGCTGGTGTGGCTCAGTGGATTGAGTGCCAGCCTGTGAACCAAAGGGTGGGTCACCAGTTCAATTCCTAGTCAGGGCACATGCCTGGGTTGCAGGTCTGGTCTCCAGTTGGGGGTATGTGAGAGGCAACCACATTATCGATGTTTCTCTCACTTTCTCCCTCCCTTTCCCTCTCTCTAAAAATAAATAAAATCTAAAAAATAAAAATTATATAGGTTCAGGTGTACAATTCTATAATACATCATCTGAATATTGTGTGTTCACTACTCCCAAGTCAAGTCTCCTTCCATCACCATTTAAAAATCTGGTTTTCAAACTTTGCATGTTTAGTGGTAATGAAACTTGGCCTTTGATGAAATGGTACACAAGGTTTTACTAATCACTCACAGGGAGTATAAAAAAGGTGGGCAATGTGTGAATACTAAAATAGTCAGTTCCTGAGCTGGGTTCTATGCATTTATAAATGTCCATCCCACCCATGAGTGAATGCTCCCCTCCTCCCACACTGCTGTGGCCTCGTGACTGTAAGGCCACACAGTGGTCACTTCTTGACTACTTGTGCCTCTGTCTTCCCTTTTCTCCCCTTATCCTAGAGAGCTAGTCAGAGCAGGGTCTGAGGTGGTGGGACTGGTTATTTTGTGATGGCAGTGGTTTAGGAATAAAAGGAATGACTGTTCCTGTAGCCAGCCTTCAGAAAGTGAGAGACTGATGTCTTCCCAGAGCTTCTACCATGGACAAGAGGAGGGTGGATATATGGTATAAAGTAACAGACACTCTAAATTATTTTCTTTGGTTCTGTCTTCACGTATACTTTGTTTTGTATCACAGACTGAATCACTGCCAATGCTTTTTATTTCTAGAGGATTTTATCCTCAGTGTCTTTTCTGTAACATTCACAGGCTATAAACAGTATGGTATGGATGTGGTTGGGAGACATGTGGAGCACTCATACATTCTTCTCTGCCTTTTCTAGGGTGGGACACTCACTCAGTATGAAGGAAAATTGAGACTGGTGGAAATCGCTCAAGTGCCAAAAGCACATGTTGATGAGTTCAAGTCTGTCTCAAAATTCAAAATATTTAACACAAACAACCTCTGGATCTCTCTTGCAGCAGTTAAAAGGCTGCAGGAGCAGAATGCCATTGACATGGAAATCATTGTGAATCCAAAGGTAAGTCAAAGTGCTGGCTCCCTGGTTCCTGAGATCATTGTAGGCTACACACAGGCCCACTCCCCGACTCCCACTGGCCTGTCTGGTGCATTGTCACTCCTTTTGCCTAGTCAGTCTCTCCAGGTCCTGGCCTTGGCTTTCAGAGTCTACATCCAGCTCTTTAGGGTGACAGACCATGGTGCCCTTACTTGGCCCTGGTCGTGGCAAGAGCACTGGGCCCAAAAGTCGAGGATGTACCTCAGCTTACTTTTTGCTCTGATACTTAGAGGCCTTTTGGCCATAGGCACCTTTCTGAACCTGCGTTTCTGTATCATAAAATGGGAATATTACTGAATGGAAGAGCTATAAGGCTGAAAAAAAATAACATGTAAGCACCTGGCTTATGGTAGGTACTTGATAAATGTTAGTTCTTGAAATTCTGCATCCTTCAGTGGATCTCTGAAACCACTCACCAAATATGAACATGGAACTAGACTGTCCAAACCTATACTCTCCCTCCCTCTCTTTTTCTTACAGACTCTGGATGGAGGCCTGAATGTCATCCAGCTAGAGACTGCGGTAGGGGCTGCCATTAAAAGTTTTGAGAACTCTCTAGGTATCAATGTTCCTAGAAGCCGTTTTCTGCCTGTCAAAACCACGTCAGATCTCTTGCTTGTGATGTCAAACCTCTATAGCCTTAATGCAGGATCTTTGACAATGAGTGAAAAGCGGGAATTTCCTACAGTGCCCTTGGTTAAATTAGGCAGTTCTTTTACAAAGGTATGTAATTACAAAGATATGATATACACATTAATTTGTATTTCTAAATGTGTAATTATAATGATGATATACACATGAATTGGAATCTGTCTCTTTTAGACCTTTACTGCTTTTATCAGAAGAATGTTAGTTCTGGCTTAACAAACATAGCCCCTTCCATTTGCTGAGCAGTGTTCTACATCCCAGGTATTTAGCAGTAAATAAAACAGACTACAATCCTACCTTCATGGATGCTATAGTAGGGTAAGGAAGATGATAAGCAAATAAATTGAATGTATAGTAGTATATCAAGTGGTAGAAAGCCTATGGAGAAAATATAGCACGAAGAGGAATGTGTGGGTGGGGTAGTAGTGGTGTCATTTTACATTGGTGGCCAGAGACAGCCTCACTGAGAAATTTTGTGTCATGCATGTGTCTGGGGTGAAAGTATTCCAGGCAGGAGGAATAGCAAGTCCAGTCAACCCAATCCTAACGAGAAGGGGAATCCCCCGAAATTAATCATGTTAAAATATCGAGAGGTTAATGCAGTGGCAGGGTGAGCCTTTGTGGCTGACCTGTAGAGTCCTGCTATGCTGTCCAAACTATTCTAGTTCTGGTTGTGGTTTAGTGCCACCTGGTGTGCATGTGTGTAGTGGGTCTTATGGCTGCACTGGAAATTCCAGGATAGTCATCTGGCATCTTCATAGTCTCTCCATTATTTGATGCCTTTTATCAGCCTGGTTGGACTGGGAAAATCCTGGTGATGCAAGGACCCACTATCTTCTCACATCCTGATATGGGATTGCCAACCATATTTGGACTAGCCTCACGCTCCCTTCAGTTCCTTCCCACTCTCCATATCCTGCAGGAGATAAGAACTTCAGCTGCCTCAATTTGAGAACGGGGCGGCATAGGCAATGGTTAGTTGCTCTGAGGAAGAACATGTTTTGGGCACATTGGAGAGCAGAGTGAGCAAGTAAGGGACTCGGAGTAGGTGGATTATGTAGAACCTTGTAATTAAGTATTGGGAGTACTGCTTTTTTTTTCTTCTTGTAGATGAAAAGCTATTGGTGAGTTGTGGGCTGAAGAGTGAATCAGGGAGACTGGGGAATAGGTTGTTGCAGGAATCCTGGCCAAGGGAAATGGTGCTTTGGACCAGGGTGGTAGCAGTGGAAATAGTGAAAAAATGTTGACATTATGAGATATTTTCAAAGTTGTATCTATAAGGGTCAACCATTGGCATAGATGAGAAGATAAAAGAAGAGAAGAGTAAGGATGACTCCCAAAGTTTTTGGCCTGTGCAACTGGAAGCATGGAATCGCCATTTACTGAGATGGGGGAAGGCTTGGGTAGAGTAGCTTTAGGGGGAGAAGCATGGGAAGTTAAATTCTGGAGATACTACGTTTATTAGACCTTCAAATGGAGAAGCCGAGTGTGTAAGTCTAGAGCTCAGAAAAGGGATCTAGAAGAGACAGTTGCATTTGAGAGTTGTCAAATTATAGCTGGTATTTAAAGCCATAACATGGATCACCTAGATGGCGAGTGAGGAGTGGAGGTGGGTGCTCCAAGAACTGAGCTCTCGGGCACTCTCAAGACTTACATGATGGGGCTAAGATGGAAGAAGCAGCAAAGGTGACTGAGGAGTTACAGGTTAGGAACTGGGTAGAAAACCATGAATGAGATGTCCTGAAAGCCAAATGAAGAAAAGAGGGAGTGATCATCTTTGTCAAGTGCTACTGCTGAATCAAGTAACATGAATGAGAATTCACCATAAGATTGATCAGTAAAGAAGTTTTGGAGACTTACTGGAATGGATTTAAAATAGAAGAGAAATTGGAGATACAAATGTAGACAATTTATTCAAGCATGTTACCTTAAAAACAAAAATAGATAGCCATAGATAGAAAGGAATATAAGATTTGAGGGGTTTTTTTGTTTTGTTTTTTAAAGATGGAATTTACAGCATACCTATACATTTATGGATATGAAGTGACGCAGTCAAGAGGGGAAAACCATTGAAGAGGGAGAAAGGAGAAATGCTGGACAGTATTCTTTGAATGGGCCGTGAGAAGGGCTGGTCTTAAGTTGAAGGAGAAATAGTACAGTCTCAGTACTAGGAGGGACAAGAGTAATGGGTGAGGGGGCAAGGCGGGGGTGGGGGTTGAGGATGGTAGCAGTGGTAATAGAAGCCAGTGAAAGTTTTCCAATTGCTTCTGTTTTTCCCAGCAAAAAAGGAAACAAAGCCATATAGGACAATTTCTAGTGCCTGTAAATATAAGGAAATAAGAGGCAAAGACATTAATCATTTATAATGATAATCTGTGCAGTTGCTCTTCATTTCTTCTGAATCCTACCCACCCTAAAGCCAAGCTCCAGTCTGGTGTGCTTCAGACCATGATGACCTCTCTCCAACTAAGTGTGGGTTATCTAAACTACTCATATGCCTCTTAGCATAATAGTTGGTTTTCTCTTTATTATTCATTTTCTGATGTCTGATCTGCTCAGCTCTAAAATGCTTGATTTTAGGGGCAATGTTATTTCCTGGTCTCTCCTGCACAGGATCCAGCATATGGTCAGTGTTTAACAAATAGGTTCTTCCCACAGAAGACCTGAACTTTGCCATAAACAGAATGTTTTTACAGTTCAGTTAAACTATTTTGTAAATTTAGTCCTTAGCCCATTTTTGAAACAATTTATATGTTTCCATTTTTCTTTCAGGTTCAGGATTATCTAAGGAGATTCGAAAGTATACCAGATATGCTTGAATTAGATCATCTCACAGTTTCAGGAGATGTGACATTTGGCAAGAATGTTTCATTGAAGGTGTGTTATGAAAATTACAGACCCTATAGCTTTAAGAAACAGGTTCTATTTTCTAGTCCTAAATTCACCTTTATTTTAAGCAGTACTTCCTAGTCTGTACCAGATGTTTAGATACAGATACAGTTCAAAAATGAAATAGCTTACTATAATATTTAGTATTAATACTGTCTTCCATAGATATACAACATAGTTAAAATACAATTATAATTGTTGTATATGGGAAATTTTGTGGAATATAGCATTCAAATGGAAAGCACACACTAATACATAATTGAACTGGTACTATTTTATTGAAATATGACAATCTTTAAAACAGAATCACTGTTAAATTAGCATTACCTCACTAAAGAAGACTATTTGAAACTAAATGAAAGTAGAAAAAAATGACAACTTCATTTATACTGAATATAATCTATTCCTATTAAAGTAATCTGTTGTCATCAACTATTATAAACAATAGTCATTCACATTCTGTAGTACTTGGGTACTTTTATAACCATCATTCCAGCCTGACATAAGAAATGGGAATAACTATAGGTGTTTAAGTGTTAAAGCTCAGAACCAGACACAACAGATTTTTCCTAATCAAGTAGTTTTTAAAAATCCCATACCTAAAGCCCTGGCCAGGTAGCTCAGGTAGAGCATTGTACTGACATGCCAAGGTTGTGAGTTCAATCCTGGTCAGGGTACATACATACAAGAATCAACTAATGAATGCATAAATAAGTGGAACAAATCGATGTTTCTTTCCCTCTCTCTCTAGAATCAATAAATTTAAAAAAATGTTAACAAAAAAATAAAATCCCATACCTAGATTTTAGCTACTTAAATGAAGATCTTGAAAAACCAAAAACCACATATATATTGAATTTTATTGCTCACACTACCCTATCTAACCAGTCTCACTTAAGATATGAAAAATTTATGAGTAAACTGTTCTTAATAAAACCCCCAAACTGATATGTAAATATAAACTAAGCACCCGTTAGTTTCTTTGTGGAAGTACATAATTCTGGTGGCCCTGGAAATAGTTCTTTGAAAGGGCCAGTCACTTGGCGGCACTGGGTTTACTTCCCACTCCCTGTACCACTTCTGATAAGGAGACAAGGAATCTAGGAATAATGCTGGGACTGTTGCAGAGGACATATTACAATTTTCCTTAACATGTTATTTGTTTTTCATGTTTAATGTTTACAAATGTAGTTACTCTGTTGTAAATGGAGTTCTACATAAACTTGATGAAAAACCAATTGCATTTCAGCTTCAGTTGCAATTACCCTCTTGCTTTTTGTTTTCCCATCCCTTAGGGAACTGTTATCATTATCGCAAATCATGGTGACCGAATTGACATCCCACCTGGAGCAGTATTAGAGAACAAGATTGTATCTGGGAACCTTCGCATCTTGGACCACTGAAATGAAAAAATACTGTGTACACTTTATACTAATTATGGGTTAGTTTCTTATAATAAAATGTTCTCTAGGATTCTAAGATAGGCAGGTACATTACTATTTTACTGTAACCTGCAGTGTTAATTTTTAAAGTAGAGTTTTCTGCCTTTAAGCCTAAGAGTATGCTTTTAGCCTAAGAAAAGCACAGATGGAAGCAATACTTTTCTTGTTGGAAGAGGATCCTGAAAGTTCATCTTTAAGTGCAATATTGTTTAATCTGAAAACTGGGGCAGCTCTGCTGGAAAATCTTTTAACAGAGGCCTCAGTGATGGTCACTTTGAATTGCTTGTGATTTCAAAAATAAAGCTGTGAAGCAATACATGTGTACATTTATACTTTTCAATGCTAAATTTATGAAATGGTGAAGAAAAATGGTTTACTGTTGCTAAATAGTTACTGTATCAGTTGGAAGATTTGTTCTTGGAATAGGTTGTATTCAACCAGTTACTTAAAAAATCAAGTTTTTGCATTTCTGAGAATCTTAACCACATCATTATTTCCATAGGAATTAAACTTGAAGGTATTTAGTGCCTTTTATTTATTTAGTTCTAAAGCTGGGATGCCTGCCATACTTTCCACAGACTCTCCATTTATTTAAAACAAAGTGGTGTTTCTTTTCCCAGCTAGAGGAGAGGGGGTGGGTAGAGGTAGGACATTTCTTTCACATCCTTGTTCTACAGTACAGTGGGTGTGGGTATAACTTTCACAAGTTCCCTTTCCTTGAAGCTTCGTTTCTTGAAGCTTGCTTGTTGTCACTAAAAAATGTTCATGAATAACCTTTCAAATCAGGTCTACAGGTAGTATAACTTGTGGCTTTTCTCTTAAGAATCAACTACATTTTCCAATTCTTCCATACTTGTTTTTTGAGTAGGCCACTTGTTTAAAGTTTACTGTATACTATTAAAAAAGTTGTCTTTTAAAGTCTGGTAATTGTTTACAGCTTTATTTCAGACAGACATTTCAAAGCCAATGACATACCTCTATAATGATAAAGGAAAGAAAACAGGCTTTCCTTTTAGGAAACCAAAGAGCACAAAATAAGACTATTTCATTGTACATAATCACCACAAAGTTAGGCACTCCGACAGGGTTAGGCAAGATTCCTGGTGTGAAGTTAGGCACAGGCACTTTCATTTGTAGAGTGCTGCTGATTCTAATTTTGAAGGTAGGTATTACAAAAAGTCTGTAAATAACTTACTCATCACCTCATTTTCTGGCCCCAACACAGGAGCTTATATTTTGTTTCTCCCTGGTCTTTGTTCTTATACACATCAAAAGTAACTTAAAACAAGAACCCAAGGGAACCATATTCCATGTTATCTAAATGTTAAAATGAAAATGCATAAGTGGGCAGAATATATAAAAACATATTCTTACCTCTTCTAGAAATAAAAAGGCAAAAAAAACAAAACCCTTTCATAGATATTCTTATAAAAATACAACTATTAAACTGCAGGCTTTCATATACCACTTCTGAAAAGCATTTAAATTAGTTGCATAAATAAACATCAATATCTTATTCTGTATTACTTGTGATCATCCTTTCAAGTATTTAGACTATTCTGGAAGGCTTCACCCAGTTGACATAGAATGATGGTATAGGAGGGCTGAATATGTGACATACAAAGCCTGAAACTTAACATTGGTCACTAACACAAAAATTAAATTCCTAAATCCAAGCAATCAAAAGTTGTTTATTTTTTATAGAAAGATCTGTAAAAAAATAATTTTTCAAACAGTTTTACTTTCATAGAGAAAACTTTCTACAGAGGTTGACTAAGATTTTAATATTTTAAATTGTACCATCATTAAATAAGGTGGGACACCATATGAATTTCATTGCACTGGAAGAAATGCAAAGCATTTTTTAATATAAAGTATACAGAGCATTCTAGTCAGCTACAGCTGTGTTACAGCTATGTGTTCTTTTGGATTTGGTCCAAAGAAACCTGAGTCTGTTTCCAGAGAGAATGAGAAATGTTATAGACACCTGATCAGCTACTCCTCACTGAAGGAAGCATAAAACAGGCATTCCTTGTAGATCACACTTAATCCCCGTTTCCCAACACTGATACTTTCCTTCTCCCCTTCCCCTACCCCAGTTCACTTTGGGTTCCAGGTTCAGTTCTTGAATTGCAGGCATCCGATATTTCCTTTATAAACATATACATCCCATGGTCAGATAGGCTACCCAGTTTTCCAGGATGTCATCACCTCTTCTGTTCCCAGATCTCGGCCATATTTAGGTCCAAATCTTTAAGGCCTTTTAAGGCTTGAAGATTTCCAGTGTAAAAAGCTACATCTGCTGTGACCAACCTAAACATTGGAGAGAAAGTTATTTTTAATCTCAAACTTTATAGATAAAGTAGCAATGCTTACAGAGTTGAGTCCTATCCTAGCTGCTAGACTGTTACTCAAAATTCAGATTTCCTAGAAACCAAATGTCAATATAAGCAGGATTCCTGCCATCATATTGAGAGACCATTTAAGTGCTTCTGTTTCAACAATAAATGTTTTAAACCAGTGCAGGTTGGATTTAGTTTCAGAATTCTGCCCAATAAATTAGAACAATGAAATAGAGGAAATAACAGGTTAAGCTTTTTTGATCTGTTGTCACTATAGCATACATGTATATGACTAATAAAATCACAGTACTGATAATCAATACAGCAACACTCGATGAAAAGAGAGAATTACACTGAGCTGTCACATTAATGCCTATAATGTGAAGAAACACTCCTGGCAAGAATGCTTAGGTAAGCAGAAATATCAAATCTGCATAAATAAATAGGGACACATCTGATTCAATGTATATTTTGAAAGATGTGACCCATGGAAAAACAAACAGGAAATCTTGATGTATTTTGTAAAAGAGAACTCTGGCTTTACTATTTTAATAAATACGTAAGTTCTGGATTGCTGGACTACCTTGGGGCAAAGGTGTTTAAGTAGCCTTCATATTTGTACTACAGTCTAATTTAAAAACACCTTTGGACTTAGGTACTTAGTGTTTCACCTTTTATCACATAGCAGAATTTATTAAGGACCATGTTTTTTGTTTGAAATTCACCTAATTGAAGGATTCTAAATTATACTTCTTGTGATAATATGGTAAGTACAGGGAAGCTGACAGCAGTGGTTCAAAACAGAACAAAGCTTTTCTAAGGCAAGATCCCTACATTAAAATTAAAATTAATGTAGATCTCCATTTAAAAATATCAAGTTATGTTTAGTAAACACTATTTACAATCTATATGAGAAAGTGCACAGAAAATGTTTTATATCAAAACTGAAAAACTGATAAAAGAGAACATGACACCAGATACTTGCAACATATATAACCAACAAAGGATTAGTTTGAAGGCATCTATCTAAAATTAACAAGAAAGAGATAATACCCAAGAAAAATGGGCAAAGAACATGAACAGGAAAAGTCACAGATGAGAATCTCTGAATGACTAATCAATGTATGAAAAGATAACAAACAGGAATTGCAAATCAAAATCAAATACCATTGTCTTCCATCAGACTGGCAACAAAGAAAGTCTTAACAGCAAACGTTGACAGGATATGGCAAAACAGTGGGAGTGTAAACTTGGTAGTCATTTTGCAAAACATTCTGGTAATACTTGGTAGAATGGAAATGTACCTGTGCTCTAATCCACTTGTAGGTATATACCTAAAGAAATGGTCAAACCTGTAGATGTGTATAAAGATCTTCACTGTGGCATTGTTGTAATGGAAAAGGTACTGACCTAGAAATCTATCCCTAGAGGAACTTGGATACATTCAAGATAGGTGATTCATGTGGGACAATACAGTAAAGCAGTCAAAATATGGATAATTTACATAAATATAGATAAGTCAGTAACAACATTAAGTAGAAAAAGCAAGCAGAATATACTATCATAAGCAAATTAAATGTATAAAATATATTTTTTTAAAGATAGAGATAATAAGTGAGAAAGACTTAAAGGATATAGACCAGATTTACTATAAATATTGCCTAAGGGATGGAGGGAAGTGAGTAAGACTGGTGATGGGGTCCAGGGATACTTCAGCTTCATTTGCAATGAAAGCTTTTTAAAAAAAAAACAAATTTTTTTTGAGTGAAAATGACAAAATTTAAAATGATCAATTCTAAGTAGCAGCAATATAAATATTCTCTTTGTCTCTATTAAAATATCTTAAGATAGAGAAAAATCACATTCAAAAGAAAAAGTACAGTGCTGGGGAGGAGGAGTAGGGAGCGACTGCTCTTCCTCATGGGGAAGTAAAAAATGTTGGGAACTGAACAGATGGTGATTGCACCGAAGTGGTGGTTGTGTGAATGTTTAAGTACCACTGAATTAACTGTAAAACAGTTCATTTTATGTTATGTGAATTTCACTTTGAAAAAAAGTGCATTTTTAGAGTCAATCATTATAGCAACAAAAATTCTTTTAAGTACATAGTGTATTATGTCTTTGGCTAGGGCCTAGGGGTTAATTTTCAAGGAATTCTATCTTTCAAAGGATTACTGAAAGACACAGATCAACTTATACAGAATTAGTGTCTTTAAAAGTATATGACGGTGAAGATCTCTTAAGACTGTATTGATCTTCAAAAATAGCTATATTACCAAAGATAATAATGGGTAATGAGTTAAACTGGGTGCTTCAGAACTACTGGTCTGAGAAAACCAACAACCCAGATTCAGTTTTGCAAATTAAAGTAGAAGGGTGAAGTGGGAGTTAAAAATATTAGCTCCTTTTGAATAGTCTCTGAAAGATATTTGATGTTCATTATACTAACTTTGAACTCTTCTAGGGCTTTGAAATCTTTGAAAATAACTAATTTAAAAAGAAGAACCAGTTAGTAATCAAGACAGAGAATCAGATTTTTGTGTAGAACTTTGAATTTCAGCCTGGCTGAAAGATTCAGCAGTCTGAAACTTCTAAATAGTTTTTTTGCATAATCAGTTCAGGGTACTTCTTTCTAAGGGCAAGGCCAACTTCTTTCTGACTGCAGAACACATTTTTTCATTTGTTCTTATAAATCTGACATTCAAGCCTGAAACTCCTTTAATAGGGAATATTTTATTCCTAAAAATCCATGGAACAGGTAACATACTTAAGAAATCACTGCATTTTGTATAATCTTTCTCCATATCTCTCAGAGAGTGTAAGTGATCTGCCCAAAGTTACAAAGCTAGTAAGTTGCAGAACTTAACCCAAATTTTCACATTGTAAGTCCTATGTTTTCTCATATATTCCATAATATATTTCACAAATGATATATAGTTTGTTCAATGGCTTGTGATAAGATATGTACATATTA